TAAATATCTTAGCCATAGCTCTTTGAGTTCTTTAAAAGAAGATTTTTAAGTTTTTAATATATATGCATATAGGGAAAATCAATGATCCCCCGGGGCGGGGCCAATTTTGACCCCAGGGCTTTTATTTGAACAAACTTGGTAGACACTTATTAGAAAATGTTTCATGCTAAATATCTTCGCTCTAACTCTTTTGGTTCTTTAAAAGAAGATTTTTTAAGTTTTTACTATATGCATATAGGGAAAATCAATGACCCCCTGGGGCGGGGCCAATTTTGACCCCAGGGCTTTTATTTGAACAAACTTGGTAGACACCCATTAGAACATGTTTCATGCTAAATTTCTTAGCTCTAGCTCTTTGGGTTCTTTAAAAGAAGATTTTTTAAGTTTTTACTATATGCATATAGGGAAAATCAATGACCCCCCGGGGCGGGGCCAATTTTGACCCCAGGTCTTTTATTTGAACAAACTTGGTAGACACCCATTAGAACATGTTTCATGCTAAATATCTTAGCTCTAGCTCTTTGGGTTCTTTAAAAGAAGATTTTTTAAGTTTTTACTATATGCATATAGGGAAAATCAATGACCCCCCGGGGCGGGGCCAATTTTGACCCCAGGGCTTTTATTTGAACAAACTTGGTAGACACTCACTAGAAGATGTTTCATGCCAAATATCTTAGCTCTAGCTCTTATGGTTTTTTAAAAGAAGATATTTAAAGTTTTTTCTTTCAGTTGCCATGGCAACCAGAGTTCTGCATGGAATTAAATTCTTTGAACAATTTTTAAAGGTGACCACCAAAGGAACATTCCTGTGAAGTTTGGATGAAATTGGCTTAGTGGTTTATGAGGAGATGTCATTTAAAGTAAAAGTTTACGGACGGACGATGGATGGACGCCGGACGGATGCCGGACGAAAAGCGATCACAAAAGCTCACCCTGTCACTTTGTGACAGGTGAGCTAAAAAAGAATCCAGATATTTACCAGTAATATGATACAACAAATATTTCTAAATTAAATTTCTTTTTATTTTAACTGAATTTCACAGATAATTCCTATGTCATATTTAGATCTTAGACTGATTTACATTAAAATGCATGCTCCTAAAGCCTCTTTTTGCATTATTTCCTGTACCTGTGCAGGAGCAGCATTATTTCCTGTACCTGTGCAGGAGCATTATTTCGCAAAAATAAATTTTAATTGGAAAATAAAAATAATGGAATTGATAACATAACATTGTGCCATGATTGGTCGATTTTAAACAAGAACCACTGCAAGACGGAAACCACATTTGACTTTTTCTTTTTACTTTTATGGTCAAACACGTAGAAGAAAAAAATATTGCAGTAAAGAATACTCCTAGAAAACATAATGATATTGACAAAATCATAATTCGAATTTCATATTTGTCCTTGACGATCAACATCATTTCAAGTCCAGGTTTAATCAGAATAATTCAACATGTCAGTTATGTGATTGATATGTGCTCTTTTGTCTGAGTATAAATCAAATCTGTAAAAAATAACAAGAGAGCCATGACGGCCCTGAGTCGCTCACCAGAAACAAATGCTTTTCAGTGTTGGAAATTATCCATTGTCAATATTTTCTAATATTAAATTTGAGCATAGAATATGTTTAAACAATAATTTGAAGAAATGCCATGATCTGGGGCATTCAAGCTTTAGCTTAAATGGAGCCAATCAAATAAATATTAGCAAACTTGATAACAGACTACCTAAGAATGCTATGAAGTTTGGTGATCATCCATCAATTATTCAGTAGGAAATAAAGTTCAAAGGTTTTTCTATCTTTAGCTTTAGTGGCCCCTTAAAAGGGGCAATCAAATTAATATGAGCAAACTTGATAAAAGACTACCTAAGAATGCTATGAAGTTTGGTGATCATCCATCAATTATTTCAGTAGGAAATAAAGTTCAAAGGTTTTTCTATCTTTAGCTTTAGTGGCCCCTTAAAAGGGGCAATCAAATTAATATGAGCAAACTTGATAAAAGACTACCTAAGAATGCTACAGACAAGGTTTGGTGATCATCCATCAATTAGTTCTGTAGAAGAAGATGTTTAAAGGGTTTTCTGTTTTTAGCTTTAGCGGCCCCTAAGCTGTCCTAAAACATGAGCAAACTTTATAAATGACTAGCCAAGAAAGCTACAGACAAAGTTTGGTGATCATCTAGCAATTATCTCTCTAGAAATAGACCTTCAAAGGTATTTCTATTTTTAGCTTTAGCGACCCTAAAATGGGCCAATCAAATTAATATGAGCAAACTTGATAAAAGACTACCCAAGAATGTTACAGACAAAGTTTGGTGATCATCCATCGATTAGTTCTGTAGAAGAAACTGTTTAAAGGTTTTTTTGTTTTCTTTTAGCCCTTGAGGCCCCTAAAAGGGGCCAATCAAATTAATATGAGCAAACTTGATAACAGACTACCTAAGAATGCTACAGACAAAGTTTGGTGATCATCCATCAATTAGTTCTGTAGAAATAGACGTTTAAAGGTATTTATATTTTTAGCTTTAGCAGCCCCTAAAAGGGGCCAATCAAATTAATATGAGCAAACTTGATAAAAGACTACCCAAGAATGCCACAGACAAAGTTTGGTGATCATCCATCCTTTAGTTCCGTAGAAGAAGATGTTTAAAGGTTTTTCTATTTTTAGCTCTGTTGACCACTAAAAGGGGCGTATTGAAATGGCATGAGCAAATTCAAGTGTGACTGTCACAAGAATGCTACAGACCAAATTTGAAGTAAATCTGCCCAACAGTTTCAGAGAAGAAGACGATTGTTGATGCATGACGACGGACGCCGGAGCATCCCCCTTTGATACTAATAGCTCACCCTGAACCTTCGGTTCTGGTGAGCTAATAAAGTAATGACAATTTATGCAAATTTCAATAATTTGACCTTAATAGGGTCAACAGCAACTGCAATGTCAGACAACAACATGACTGTAGCAATAGCTCTCCCTTTTTATCAAGAAAGTCAAGCTTATACAATTGTAATAATTATATAAAATTTATACCTCAGATAAATCATGTATCAGTTACTTTTTTATTCTGTAAAATATAACTGTTACCGACTTGTGTTTATATTTAATGGAAAAACCAAAGCAATAACAACACAATTTAAGGTATTACTTTTGTTAATCATTGAAAATTGTGAATAAGGTTATTTCAAACAAAAATTAATAACCTTAGAATACTCAAAGCTGAATTTTTTTTATAACAGTAATTATATATATATATACAACTATGAAATTTAATCAAATCATTCAGCATGTTATAAACCATTAATATACAAATCCCTCATATACAGATAATATACAGTGGCTTTATATGGATACTTAATTATATCACTGCAGTGCAATATCAAAATTTATTGCATCTCTTTTAAAATCAGCTTAATATAAGATGCATTTAAATATTGTAAAATATAAATAAAATATAAAATATTGTGAGTTTTTTTTCCCTCCATAAAAGTTTGTTTTCCCATATTTAAGCAGTACAAAATATCACTTAAACTTTCTCTTTATCATTACAAATATAATTACTTTGTAAATATAATAACAATTTTTATCATTGCAGATTTTGTAAAACTGATAAATTTGAACAATTATAGGCCTGTATAGCAATCATTTGGAATTCAATTTATAATTAAATAGTTTTGTTTATATCAAGATAAGTCAACATTTGTTTTAAAGAAAAAATTATCAAAAGCAAATACACATGTATATCTAACCATCTGCAGTATAATGAAGTGTAATGCTGATGTTCATATCCAGAGTTCTAATATTCCAAAGAATCTTGGTTTTTCAGTCTTGCCTTGCCTTTATCATCATAATTATGTCATTTTAAAATTTAACAAAAAATGTGTCTTAATATTATTAAGCAGATTTATGTAATTTTGTATATGTTCTATGTTTCATTTTTCCTCTTTTACAATAAATAATTATAATAAATAATTCAACAATTTTGTCTTCAATTAACTATAGATGATGTACTTTTCTGGTAAAATGCACAATTTTGTCTTCAATTATCTATAATTGATGTACATTTCTTCAATACTGTATGTAGATAATAAAAATATTCAGTAAAATTGATCTACATCTTATCATCATTTCCATCCTGTTCAGTTATATGATACTGTATTCCATTTTGAGATTCAGTCAGGCCTAGACATTAACTTTTGAATCAGGTTGTCCTGTCGGGCAAGTAGTTTTTAAAACTACTTGCCCGTGACCTAAGACTTACTTGTCCTGACCTAAAAATGGTAAAAAATTTTTTAATGTATAAATCAGAAAAACAAACAAGCTCATAAATATTTTTTGTATTTAGTAGTTTTTCTAAAACATCGGTTCATCTGTTTATTCAATGTGAATATACTACGGTCATGTACATTTGTTGATATAGGAAACGGAAGGAAAAATATGAGCATGCGCCGCGATAAGGAAATTCCCCGTTCAATCATCAAGTCAACAGCCGTAAACGAGTCTTCGTTTACTAAGTTCATAATGTTGTTATATTAGATTAAACAATAAATCATTTTTAATGCAAAAACTTTATTTAACAATTATATTTAAAGATCAATATGATTATCTACATATTTTCAATGATATCTTTACATGCAAACATCAAAATTTAAACAACAGCATAACCCGGGAATTACCTTGTACAAAATTAGATATAGTCTATTATTAGAACAGAGAATTACCTTACCGCGGTGCATGCTCATATTTTTGCTTCCGTTTCCTATATCAACAAATGTACATGACCGTAGTATATTCACATTATTGATAATAATTCATGGTGTATTTTTGTTTTAAAGATGTTTATAAATGAAAAGATGTTATTTCTATTCATTTTGTACATGCATTTTGTCAATGATGCTTTTTATTTTCACTTGCCCTGTCGGACAAGTGCTTTTCAAAATAACTTGCCTGGACCAAACTTTTAGTTGTCCCGGGCAGTCGGACAACCGTTAATGTCGAGCCCTGTCAGTATGTAGATTATTTAAGATTCAGCAAATCTTTAAATATAAAATAACTAAGTAAATATTGCAGATCTTAACTGACTTCATGTTTCATGCAATGTAGATATAGTCAGAGTTGTAGATAACACTATGTCTCTGATATAGTCTGTGAGTTAAAGTCCAATATTTCATGTTTTATCCTTTTTTGTATGTGAAGCAATTTGTCCATTCCGAGATTCAGCTTGACGTTGATTGGAGATTCAGCAAAGCTTTAAATATCTAAGAAACTAAACTGACTAATTGTCCTTCCACTTCTCTATATTGTCTCTTAACATCTTTATTTGATCTGAAATGACACAAAATAAATGTATATATATAAAATAACTGATGTTTGATTTCATGGTCACTTTTGTAAATAAATTTAGAATGAAACAATTATATAGTATATATCAAAGGTTAATTTTTTAGTATAATTTATTGTCATGAATTTCAAACTTAGTTTATTGTTTCCATGCATTTTACTAATATAAATACTCTAATTTTAAAGATAAATTTGTAAATTCTAATCTAACCAGCAGTCATTTAGGTCATTGTTTGTTAAGTTTTGAGGGGACAAATGGCCACCTCTAAGCATTGCTAGAGTAGAAAAACCATCAACAGTTTACTATGTACTATTCAAGCAATGAGTGAGCACATTGGTACAACTGTTTACCTTTTGTAAGCTAGATTGTTTAATGCAAAGCTATATTTAAGGTATTAGGACCCTAATGGGCACTATAAGGAACTAAAAAATTGACATCATAGGTCAGAAGTATACCTTAAAGTACACCTGTATGCAAAATTTAAACAAAGTTTACCGTACGGAAATCAAGTTATGGCCACTTTTCTTAACTCAAGCTAGGATGTTATGAGGGCCCTTTTTTAGAAATGCGGAACCTTTAAATAATCTGCAATAACTTTCTAATGAAAAGTGTTTTCCAATTAATTTTTGGTAAGAAACAAATAGTACCATTCAGCTAACAATCCACATAAGCAAAATTATGGTTTCTACTTTAAATTTATGAAATCTGTATAAAAATGTTACCCTACCCCACCCATTTTTACCACGTGTCTGACCATTTTTCTACTTAGGGAGCCTAATTTAAAAAAATCTTAAAATTTACCCAAATGAGTGCATGTTTTCAAAGTTTCCCTAAATTTTTAAAAAAAGTATATTGGTTGATCTTATGAAATATGAAATACTTTTACTGTCTAGTTTTGATTATTTTACACTTTGAAAATATCAGGTACCATATTTATTACTAGATTTAGCATAATTTAGCCAATAAATACCTATATAATTAAAAAATCAAAATTAAACACTTCTTTCTTTCCAAATGGGACATGAGAGATACATAAATAATGTTAAAAGAAAAAAAGAAAGAAAAAAAAAGTTGACCCTTCTGGGGATTGAACCCATGGCCCTCATTTTCAATGTAGTTAACAGTAGTTCTAGCCTATCTGAATACTCTTCAACGCGGAGGTAATGCATTAGGGTGCTAATACCTTAAGACAAATCAAGTGCATATTGCATTCAATAGAATGGCTGTCATGTATTAAAAAATATAAATTTAAAAATATATAATGGTATACCTTTCTTAAGATCAGCTATTATGGCCTGTTTTCTCAAAAATTCAAGACACAAATCTTTATTTAAGCCATAAGCTCTCATGTTGCTTGTAAATGTCCTGTAAAACAAAAAGATAAAGTTAACATAACTTGCTTAGTGGGAACAAATCTCTTTTTGTTCTACGACTTTCAAACAATTTCTTTCACCTAATAAACATATTTTGTCTGCTTTCTGGACTAAACAATACTGATTTCTGATGAAGAAACCTGCCTGTTACTCAAGTAAGCCTCACACTTTTACCACCAAACAATAAAAGGACTTACACTATCAACATATTAAGAAAAGACACTGAACAATGTATATTTTTGTACAATAAAACATGTACTTGGCAATCTAAATCTTGCAGGAAAGATCTGTTGTGTCAAATAATACTTTCATATAATGAAAACACATACCCAAGTTGTCCAAAAGTGATATTCTCCTGGAACATGGAATCATCATTCTGAGAATCATGTCCATCCTCACTGTAAAGTAAAAGAATTATATAAACATTGGTATACTACATATATTTCATAACTTTAACACTAACCAGAACAGAAAGTGATAATCCTTTGCCATCAGTGTAAAACTGGGTCAGACTGAACAAGTTTAGAGCTAGGCCAGACTGCACCAGTGTAAACCTAAGCCAAACAGTACCAGTGTAATGCAAGGCCAGATTGTACCAGTATAAAGCTAGGCCAGACTGCACCAGTGCAATGCTAGGCCAGACATCACCAATTTTAAGCTAGGCCATACAGCACCAGTATAAAGCTAGGCCAGACTGCATCAGTATAAAGCCAGACCAGACTGCACCAGAATAAAGCTTGGCCAAAGGGTACCAGTATAGAGCTAGACTGGACTGTACCAGTATAAAGCTAGGCCAGACTGCACCAGTATAGAGCTAGACTGGACTGTACCAGTATAAAGCTTGGCCAGACTGTACCAGTATAAAGCTTGGCCAGACTGCACCAGTATAAAACTAGGCCAGATTGCACCAGTATAAAACTAGGCCAGACTGCACCAGTATAAAGCTTGGCCAGACTGCACCAGTATAAAACTAGGCCAGATTGCACCAGTATAAAACTAGGCCAGACTGCACCAGTATAAAGCCAGTCTAGACTGCACCAGTATAAAGCTAGGCCAGATTGCACCAGTATAAAGCTAGGCCAGACTGTACCAGTATAAAAGCTTGGCCAGACTGCACCAGTATAAAGCCAGTCTAGACTGCACCAGTATAAAGCTAGGCCAGACTGCACCAGTATAAAACTAGGCCAGATTGCACCAGTATAAAAACTAGGCCAGACTGCACCAGTATAAAGCCAGTCTAGACTGCACCAGTATAAAGCTAGGCCAGATTGCACCAGTATAAAGTTAGGCCAGACTGTACCAGTATAAAGCTTGGCCAGACTGCACCAGTATAAAGCTAGGCCAGATTGCACCAGTATAAAGCTTGGCCAGACTGCACCAGTATAAAGCTTGGCCAGACTGCACCAGTATAAAACTAGGCCAGACTGCACCAGTATAAAACTAGGCCAGACTGCACCAGTATAAAGCCAGTCTAGACTGCACCAGTATAAAGCTAGGCCAGACTGCACAAGTGTAAAGCTTGGCCAGACTGTACCAGTATAAAGCCAGTCCAGACTGCACCAGTATAAAGCTAGGCCAGACTGTACCAGTATAAAGTTAGGCCAGACTGCACCAGTGTAAAACTTGGCCAGATTGCACCAGTATAAAGCTTGGCCAGACTGCAGAAATACATAGACTGAAGTATATGAGCCGTGTCATGACAAAACCAACATAGTGCACATCCGCGCAGTCTGATCAGGATCCATGCTGTTCGCTTACAAACCCTATAACAAGTAAAAAAACTAATAGCGAACAGCATGGATCCTGATCAGACTGTGCGGATGTGTCACTCTGCCACAGTGACAAACACCATATTTTACTGTATTAGTTCACACGTCTTTGTCTCTGTCCATCAAGACAAAGCATTTATTGACCATCTTAATTTGTAGTGACTGCCAAAACATTACTCTGATAAATGACTAGACATAACAATATTACAAGAAATACCCAGTCTAAAGTAACCTGACTGATTGCCAATACCAAGTCTAGAGTAACCTGACTGATTGCCAATATGCTACAAGGTTCACAAATTCAGAAACTATTGCTGTAAATATTTCTTCACGAAATCTACAATATCTGAGGAAAATACATATCTAAAAACTAATTTGTCATTACTTTGCAATATCTTTTGCATACTTTCCTGTTCACTGTGAATCAATACTGCTTTGTTAGAAGTATAGAGAAATTGGCAGCACACAGAATATAAGACTAGGCAAATTCTGTATCCATAAAAGAAATTGTAGGGTCTTGTATTTTCGTATTTTAACAAAAGATACAAATACTGGTACTATATAAATGCAAAGAAAAAATCCACTAATCTGAAGGTCCGTTGAAGTAAGTATTATTAAAATTTTCATACTTCATTTTTCTTTCCATTCTTTTTATGATCCCAATTTATCCCATACAAAAACACCTTAATACAGCACTTCAACAAATGTATCTAAAATATCAATTATGCTTGGTTAAATCTATCCACTGTTTTATTTGGATTTTCTGAATTTCTTTGTAAAACAATGGTTTTACATGTATTTAAAATGTTATATTGATGGCAATACCCAGTCGTATTTATTTCTTCAAAATAAATTATTATCATTCCCAATGACAATTTGTCAAACGCAATCTATTTGCTAAAAAGCTATTATATTTTCATGTAACTTAAAAAATCACATAGAGGATATTTGTTTGTTTGTGAGAATACTGTTTATAAAGCCCACTCGATGAAATAAAATTACATCTTACACAACAAACAAACAAATTTTCTTTTTATTTTATGCTTAAAAACAAGTTAAAACGAAATTTCCATAATATTAACGTTAATATTAAAATGTTTTTCCCATTGAGAGCCCCATATAGTCGGAATTTCTCATTAAAAACAAGTTAGAAGTCTTGAGCTGAAAAATAAGTCTGACAATCGACGTTAAATGACGGTAATATTATTCATTTTATTAAAAAAATATGAATGATCGCTTGTTTTAATATTAAAAACAAACAATTAGGAGAAAAAGTCCAACCATCCATCCATATTTCTGTTACTTACTGCGAATTTATATTAGACCTGGCTTTGTAAAATGTAAGCGGCAGCCATTTTCTTAAGTTGTGTATTTCATGGGAGGAAAATAATTGTGTTTGATTCAGAGGGATATCATTTGGATTTGTTAGTCATACACCTTTTTAAAAGAAAGAAAACTTATTTGAGGATTGCAACAGACAAAAAATAAGTGTTGACAGATGTGAAAACATTCAGAAAAGCAGCTAGGAAAATGGAAAACTTTGAAGCTGGCTCAGGAACGCTGGGTTGTTTACTTGTTCTTCGAGTGATGGCTGTCATTGCTTTTCAATTTTTCATAAAGCATACGGCAGTTATTGCTCGTAGGATACTTTAATATGCCCAAATGTCATCAAGAGCAGTTTCAAATATGGAAAGAATGTATTTTTCAGACTGTAAAAATGAAACAAAAAATTTAGAGACGAAATTTGGTGATTGGAATTTGAATGAATAGAAGTAAGTTTTCTTCTTTTTATTACATTTGACATTTAAGTTATTTATCAATTTCAGCTTTGCTTTTTCTTTAACGCCTGACATTGTCAGAATTGTCAGCAAAAATAAAATTGAGGTACCACATGGGGAAAATCTTAAACTAGAAATGTGTCCATAGGACACGGGTGCCCCCACCGCGCCACTGTTCTGTCAATCTTATGACTCTAGGTCAAATATTTTTTTAAAACTAAAAATCTTTTACTAAGTAAAGGGCAAAACTAAATATGCTGAGCAACCTTCACGTAAGGTTTAATGACTTTGTCAAATCCTTTTTGAGTTACATGCGACACAAGTTGAAAATTGCAAAAAAAATTCTAAGTCAAGAGCAATAACTCTAAAATTACTAAATAAATCCATAGGAAAATACCCAGGTGCACAACTACACATGCTGATCAATATTCCTGTAAAGTTTCATGACTCTATGTCAAATCCTTTTTGAGTTACATGCGACACAAGTTGAAAATTGCAAAATTTTACTAAGTCAAGGGCAATAATTCTAAAAATACTATAAAAATCCACACGAAAATACCCAGGTGCACAACTACACATGCTGATCAACATTCCTGTAAAGTTTCATGACTCTAGGTCAAATACTTTTTGAGTTACATGCGACACAAGTTGAAAATTGCAAAATTTTACTAAGTCAAGGGCAATAACTCTAAAAATACTAAAAATATCCAGACGAAAATACCCAGATGCACAACTACACTTGCTGATCAATATTCCTGTAAGTTTCATGACTCTAGGTCAAATACTTTTTGAGTTACGTGCTACAAAAAAGAGGACGGACAGAAGGACGGACAGACAAGGGTAAATCTAAATGCCCGCCACTAAAGTGGGGGCACAAAAAGTAGTTTCGTCATTGAAAAGTGTGAAATTATATTTTGATAATTTTCACTGTGAAATAATCAAATATAATTTTCACGGATAAATCAGTAATCCACTGAAAAGCATAAAATAAATACCGGTATTTGCATTTTAAGGAATCGTTTTGTTAAAAGCACATTATGCCTTGGTAATGAATAAATTTTTCATTATGCAGAAAGGGCAAGTGTTACATAATGTTGTTATAATATATTTAGATGCTTATCACCTGAATAAAATAATGTTAAACATGAAATAAAATGTGGTAAAGGTAGCAAAATGTAAACAAAGAAATATTTTGACTTCTGTACAAAATACTAATTCACTATAACTGTACTAAAAACCTAAACACAAAAGAAATGAAAGATGGCTCAGAAATATGACCAATTAGTAATAACTATTTAACAAGAGGGCCATGATGGCCCTGAGGTCGCTCACCTGTATATAGGCCCCCGGAGTGTGGCCAGTTTAAACCCCAGGGCTTTTATTTGAACAAACTTGGAAGACACCCATTAGAAGATGTTTCATGATGTTAAGTTTTTACTACACACATATGAAAAACAATGACCTCCCCCCCACAACCGGCAGGGCCAATTTTAACCCAAGGGCTTTTATTTGAACAATATTTGTAGACACCCATAAGAAGATGTTTCATGCTAAACATTTAAACTATAGCTCATTGGGTTTTTTAAAAGAAGATTTTTAAATTTTAAGTATACACAAGTTAAAAACAATGACACCCCTGGAGCGGGGCCAGTTTTAACCCTAGGGCTTTTATTTGAACAAACTTTGTAGACACTGACTAGAAGATGTTTCATGCTTAATATCTAACCTCTGGCTATTTGGGTTTTTTGAAAGAAATTTTTTAAGTTTTTGCTATACACTATAAGGAAAATCAATGACCCCCCCGGGCGGGGCCAATTTTGACCCCAGCGCTTTTATTTGAACAAACTTTGTAGACACTTACTAGAAGATGTTTCATGCTTAATATCTAAACTCTGGCTATTTGGGTTTTTTGAAAGAAAATTTTTAAGTTTTTTGCTAAACACATAAAAGGAAAATCAATGACCCCCGGGGCGGGGCCAATTTTGACCCCAGGGCTTTTATTTGAACAAACTTTGTAGACACCGATTAGAACATGTTTCATGCTGAATATCTTAGCTCTAGCGCTTTGAGTTCTTTAAAAGAAGATTTTTTAAAGTTTTTACTATATGCATAGTAAAAACCAATGACCCCCGGGGCGGGGCCAATTTTGACCCCAGGGCTTTTATTTGAACAAACTTTGTAGACACCCATTAGAACACGTCTCATGCTGAATATCTTAGCTGCGCCCGTGCAGAAAATATTTCCTGTTCTCAGGAAGTCCCAGGAAATCCCAGGATTATCCCAGGATTTGTTTGCTACCTCTTAACAAAAGTCCTGTTTATAGGATATCTCAAGACTTTTGAACATACTGAACAGGACAAAACAGGAATTGTCAGGACTTTAATCTTACCAACAGGAAAAAACAGGAAATCTCAGGACTTTTATTTTCAAATATGTCCTGAGGACAGGAATTATCAGGACTTCATTTATAGTGAAGTCCTTTAGTCAAAGACAAGAAAGATATTTTCTTAGAAGGCCTTTCTGTAAAGTGAAAAGTAAGAAGTCTTGTTAATTCCTGTTCTTTAGACAGAGGAATAAATGAAATAACTTTTGTGAGCCTTTTTATTACTGAGCAAAGCTGAAAAAATGCTAAGTATAAAAAATGAGAAAAATTGATAAAATATATTGAAGTCGGTTTGTAATAGTTTTCTTTAACACAATGGGTATCAAAATACTCAGAATTTAAAATTCTATAATCTTAGACCTTAATCACAAACAATTAAGAAAAAAATTGCTAATTGATTTTTGAACATAGCAAGGAAATTATTTTTTTTCATTTAATAAGATATTGTAATAGGGAAAATCAAATATACATGATTGTATATAACCTGCACATAATTTTGGCACAGATTCTGAGTGGAATAGGGACAGAATTGGCATGGAATCAGTGATTTCTGTGTGGACCATGGAAAGAAATGAAATTCTGTCATTCCATTTCAAAACAAAAACAATTCACATAAAAGTTACCCAAAGCATTATTCTACTCTAGTTTTTTTTTTGCATTTACAAACATTGAAATGTATATGTTTTCAACCTATTGTACTTCTTACAGTACTTTTTTTTACTAAAGCTCATGCAACTGTCATTTTTATCTATTTCAAATCAAGGAACCAATATGCCTGATAATTGCATACACTTAGGACACCCACTTAGATATTACACCACGCAGATCAAAGATCTGATAAAACTGGCCACCTTTGTTCTCCCACCATAATGTGCATGACTAATTTACTCCCTGGTCATTCCTACAAATCAGACTGTTCCATGTGGTTATTTTGGGGAGTTGAATGATATGCAGAATATGTCTAGGACATTGCAATTTTTCCTCTTTATTAAATTCGTGATTTTTTAAATCTACTTATCTATTAGCTATTTGATGTGGTTTTTTACATTCAATGAATGTTATATAAAATGATAACTGCTTTGATTTTTGGATTAACCCTGTTTTACCTAATGATGTACCTGTCCAGTTTGAATGGTCAGCTAGAAGCTTGGAAATAGTGTAAATTACAGAGGAGACTACTTCCTGTTTAAGCAATTTTGGAGTTTAAGATGTTAAGGTGTTTAAGTTTAATAAGTGTAGTTATGGTTAATAAGAATGACAAGAATCAGAATCACCTGGGACAAGGAGATATACAACAGAATGAGGTAATTAAACCTTTAGTTACATTTATACAGAAACAGGTTATATATGTATATCAAACAATCAAGGTAGCAAACTAAAATTTGTAACCACTTCATACATTGATTTACTAACAATTGATTTAAATCTAGATTTGATTGTCACATTAATTTGTAACATATATAATATACAAAATAGCATATAAATAGATAGATTGTCTTTTTTATTTCTGCAAGTTAAAATAATGTGAAACAAATTAAAATTATGAGGACTTAATGGTACATTTTTTTACACACCTGTCAGTAAGTTTTGTGGAGCTGAATAAGACAGGGTTATCATAATTATTTATCATTTTATGTGTTGTTTTCAATGGAAAAATCTGATATTAGATTTCAAACAAACTGCAGGCTTTAAAGTGGGGCCAGTTCTGAGTCTGACTCTGAGATGCTAGGTGAATAATGATGTGCAGTATTGAGCCCCAAAAGGTATGCTTTATTTTTTTAAATAACTATATTTGACTATTCTTAATCTTTCCCAGAAGAAAAAAATAGTTCATTGCACAATTATTTGAAACCATTTGTTACCTTTCTTTTAAAATTCATATTTTAATGAAAGTTGCATTTAAGTTCTTACATTGGTTGAATCCAACTTCTAAGCAACAAATTATTCTGCAACCAGCTAGTACTATTTAGCATTATAAGTGTAAAGTTTCTTTCTCAAGGAAACAATGGCTTGCTGACAGGGTTTAAACAAATATGGCAAGGAATCCTTAGATTACTGGTCTGATTTGTTAACCTGCATTAAAAAAATTTTGGCCATGCCACCACTTGTGTTTATATTGCATGTAAAGTTTCATGACATCACTGCTTATTTGATATTTTCAACAAAACCTTTTTCTTCTCCATTACAATGAACAAATCTTATTTTTGAAATAAAAGACAATTAAAAATCAGAACACATTTCTTCTTTAAATTTATTTTTTTAAAGAAAGAAGTCAAAGTCTTGATGTAGGCAGGTTAAATGCAGGATGAATATGTCATTTCTTAAAAATCACTTGAACAAGGCTTCATAAGTATTAGGGACCTTTTTCTTCTCATGCTAATTATATGCACATTTTTGTTAAATTTGATAATGCTAAAGGGGCTAGAATTTGGTTTATTTATACAAACACATTATGATAAATAATTGTTACAATGCTTAAAAGAATAGAACTGTACTTGACAGTAACTCAGTATTGCTGAACATGTCTTTTTTTCCAGAAATAATGAAGGAGTCAGAGTGTCAATCAGAGTGCCAACTGTTCAAGGCTGGGAGATAGTCAGCTGGGAGCCTGAGAGCAAAATGACGTAAATGCCATGCAGGGAAAGTTTGTTAACTTGTGAATCAAAGCTAGCTTCTAGATGCCATCACAGTCAAACTTTTCAGTGTATTTTTTCTCAAATCTATAAACTTTCCTGGATCTATAGTGTGTGATTTTTTCATAATAAATTTTTCTGTTCTAATCCCTTCAATTATATGTAATAATTGTATACATATAAAATGTAAAATATGATGAAATATTAAAATAAATATTTTTAAACTAACTAAATTTGTGCTTTAAATTAGTATTTCAAAGCAGCATTTATTTAAATATCAGCTTTTACTGTTTTCTACATTTCTACATGTCTGTCCTGGGGACAGGACATTTATTAGATAATGAGACTGTCCTGGGAACAGGACTTTCCTGGGATTACAGGACTGTCCTGGGAACAGGAAATTCCTGGGATTACAGGACTGTCCTGGGAACAGGACATTCCTGGGATTACAGGACTGTCCTGGGAACAGGACTTTCCTGGGATTATAAGACTGTCCTGGGAACAAGACATTCCTGGGATAGCAGAGCAATATTTTTTCCTGTTTTTTCCTGTCTTCAAGAAATTCCTGGGATTGTCAAGTCCCATTTAACGGCGTGAAAAAAGTCTCAGGATTATCTCAGGAAATCCTGAGATTTTTCCAGGACAAATTCCTGAGACTTCTCAGGAATTCCTGGGATAGTCCCAGGACTTCTTGTTCATTTTCTGCACGGGAGTAGCTCTTTGGTTTCTTTAAAAGAAGATTTTTTAAGTTTTTACTATATGCATATAGGGAAAATCTATGACCCCCTGGGGCGGGGCCAATTTTGACCCCAGGGCTTTTATTTGAACAAACTTGGTAGACACTCATTAGAAGATGTTTCATGCTAAATATCTTAGCTCTAGCTCTTTGGTTTCTTTAAAAGAAGATTTTTTAAGTTTTTACTATATGTATATAGGGAAAATCTATGACCCCCTGGGGCGGGGTCAATTTTGACCCAAGGGCTTTTATTTGAACAAACTTGGTAGACATTCACTAGAAGATGTTTCATGCCAAATATCTAAGCTCTAGCTCTTACGGTTCTTTAAAAGAAGATTTTTTAAGTTTTTACTATATGCATATAGGGAAAATCAATGACCCTCGGGGCGGGGCCAATTTTGACCCCAGGGCTTTTATTTGAACAAACTTGGTAGACACTCACTAGAAGATGTTTCATGCCCAATATCTTAGCTCTAGCTCTTTGGGTTCTTTAAAAGAAGATTTTTTAGTTTTTACTATATGCATATAGGGAAAATCAATGCCCCCCCCCTGGGGCGGGGCCAATTTTGACCCCAGGGCTTTTATTTGAACATACTTGGTAGACACTCACTAGAAGATGTTTCATGCCAAATATCTAAGCTCTAGCTCTTATGGTTTTTTAAAAGAAGATATTTAAAGTTTTTTCTTTTGGTTGCCATGGCAACCAGAGTTCTGCATGGAATTAAATTCTTTGAACAATTTTTAAAGGTGACCACCAAAGGAACATTCCTGTGAAGTTTGGATGAAATTGGCTTAGTGGTTTATGAGGAGATGTCATTTAAAGCAAAAGTTTACGGACGGACGGACGGACGGACGACGGACGGACGGACGAAAAGCGATCACAAAAGCTCACCCTGTCACTTTGTGACAGGTGAGCTAAAAAACTGTTACTGGACACCAAAAATAAAAAGCTTTTGAAAAATTAAAATAATATCATTTATGAAGCTAAATGGGCCTTTAAGAATGACAAAATTTGTGGAAATTCTAGAGGTATTTGTTACTTGTATTTTTAAGGGAAACATGTTATATATAGATCATCATTACAAGTGGCATTAATTGATACCATAGAGAGGAAATCTTGATCTGATCTTCTTACACATTCCTTACTTGCCTAAATAATTGTTAAGAAACTGAAAGAAATATAAATTGGCAGCTGCATATCATCAATATTAATTTAAAAGTTTTAGATTCCTAGATCATGTCACATTTATACCTTTATTTAATTTAGAACTGTCTAATTTTAACATAGGGGATTTAGGCGATTTAAATGCATTCAAAAGCCCTAAAATTATACAAGTTCGAGTTTCTGCAGAAAATAAATTTCATGAAACAATCTTAAATCTTGTACTTGTCAACGAATCATTTTGGTACAGAAGTTTCTAAAGAAGAATACACCAATTGCAGACACCCTCAAAGAATTATAAGTAACCAGTTGACTGATTTTTGTTTGACAACATAGGAAAGTTCTTGCTATTTAAAGGCCCATTATGCCACAGAAATGCTCCTATTCTTATTCTTAAAAATCTTTTCATTTTTGGAGTGCTTTCATAGTTTCCAAAAAATTACTCATTGGCCAATTATATGAACCATCTCTCATCTGTTGGTTTTAGGCAATTAGTACAGTAATAGTGATTAAGCATTTTGTATGGAATTCAAAAAACTAATTTGTTTAGATTTTGCTACATTTAAGACAAATTATTTCACATTAATCTCTATTTTCTTTAGGTTACAAGAATTTTACATGCTCTAAAACCATTATTTAAATATTATTTAATGCATATTTGCCCTTTCTAAAGAAGTAAACACATTTTTGTTTCAGAGGCATAATGTGCCTTTAAAGGTATCAGAAAAAATTACATAACTAAACATTTTTTCACATTAACTTGTATAATTACAAGTACTAAACAAACACAAACTCAAGCTTGTTGCATAAAGCATAAAAATACAATGCCTAAAGCACATAAACAGGTCAATGTAAGATTAAACTTGTAAAAAAGAATGCTCAAATAACCAATCTAAAATTCAAATTATATTTAGCTCCCAAGTTTATATTGCAGCATTTAACACAAATAATTTGTCTTGAAATATGTTCTTCCTTGAAGTCAAATTTGAAATGAAACGATGCTTGATAAGCCTATGATATCTGATTTAAATCTTGTACAATTCTACAGCAATTCAATGATGCATGAAATATACCGTTTCTTCATTACCTAATTCAATTCTCAGACAAAATCATGCATTCTGCCATAAAATTTTATATTATACGTTTAACTGGTTCCAGAGATAAATAACATCATCTCCCAGGGTTTTATCAGAAATCTTTTAAACAAGACTGATCATGCAAGTTATAATAGAAGAAATTCAAGCCTAGAAACAAGAATGGATGTATTGTTTTTCTTTCCAAAGGTGTATGCTACAGTTTCATATAAAGCAAACAAATATGGTAGTCACCAAACTTGATGTTGAGTTACATATATTTTTAGGATAGAGTTTTTTAAAATTTTAAATTAAAATTTTCTTTTTTTATTATTTTAAATTTGGTTTAAAAAAGGGAAGTTGAACCTGATAAAAAAACAACCTTTAATCTAGTTTCCAAACTTTTAATTTTAAAGTTTTTTGTGACAAAAAATTGAGTAAGGGGACAACATAACAGATTTTGCATGACAAAAACGATGTTGCAGCAATCATAACAGCTCAACTTTTTCTTTAAAACAGACCAGCTAAAAATTCCATCATGATTAAAATACTACACAAGACTAAAAACAGGATAAATTAGAAGTTTGTTAAATAAACACCAATTACCTGGTACACACTGGCTTTCTGGCTCGCTCATTTTGGACAGCATCAAAGAAAGCAGCATTCCAAAACCTGAGAGACCGCCATATAGGCTGTTCTCTTAAATAACTATACAGGAAATTCTTGTACCGGTGGCGACCATGCTGAGCTGAAAAATTAGATATACACATTAACTATTAAGCTGCTAAATTTCTGTAATATACCTAACCTGCTTTAATTTTATAACCATCTATTGTTCAAGTTACTTCTTCAAAGTCTAACTTAGCCTGGAAACAAACCTGCTTTGAGTTTATAACCATCTATTGTTGAAGTTACTTCTTCAAAGTCTAACTTAGCGTGGAAACAAACCTGCTTTGAGTTTATAACCATCTATTGTTGAAGTTACTTCTTCAAAGTCTAACTTAGCCTGGAAACAAACCTGCTTTGAGTTTATAACCATCTATTGTTGAAGTTACTTCTTCAAAGTCTAACTTAGCCTGAAAACAAACCTGCTTTGAGTTTATAACCATCTATTGTTGAAGTTACTTCTTCAAAGTCTAACTTAGCCTGGAAACAAACCTGCTTTGAGTTTATAACCATCTATTGTTGAAGTTACTTCTTCAAAGTCTAACTTAGCCTGGAAACAAGCCTGCTTTAAGTTTATAACCATCTATTGTTGAAGTTACTTCTTCAAAGTCTAACTTAGCGTGGAAACAAGCCTGCTTTAAGTTTATAACCATCTATTGTTGAAGTTACTTCTTCAAAGTCTAACTTAGCGTGGAAAACAAGCCTGCTTTAAGTTTATAACCATCTATTGTTGAAGTTACTTCTTCAAAGTCTAACTTAGCGTTGGAAACAAGCCTGCTTTGAGTTTATAACCATCTATTGTTGAAGTTACTTCTTCAAAAAGTCTAACTTAGCGTGGAAACAAGCCTGCTTTGAGTTTATAACCATCTATTGTTCAAGTTACTTCTTCAAAAGTCTAACCTTAGCCTGGAAAACAAGTCTGCTCTTTGAGTTATAACCATCTATTGTTGAAGTTACTTCTTCAAAAGTCTAACTTAGCCTGGAAACAAGCCTGCTTTAAGTTTAATAAACCATCTATTGTTTTGAAGTTACTTCTTCAAAGTCTAACTTAGCCTGGAAACAAGCCTGCTTTGAGTTTATAACCATCTATTGTTGAAGTTACTTCTTCAAAGTCTAACTTAGCCTGGAAACAAGCCTGCTTTAAGTTTATAACCATCTATTGTTCAAGTTACTACTTCAAAGTCTAACTTAGCGTGGAAACAAGCCTGCTTTGAGTTTATAACCATCTATTGTTGAAGTTACTTCTTCAAAGTCTAACTTAGCCTGTGAAACAAGCCTGCTTTGAGTTTATATAACCATCTATTGTTGTTGAAGTTACTTCTTCAAAGTCTAACTTAGCGTGGAAACAAGCCTGCTTTAAGTTTATAACCATCTATTGTTGAAGTTACTTCTTCAAAGTCTAACTTAGCCTGGAAAACAAAGCCTGCTTTTGAGTTTATAACCATCTATTGTTGAAGTTAACTTCTTCAAAGTCTAACTTAGCCTAGAAACAAACCTGCTTTGAGTTTATAACCATCTATTGTTGAAGTTACTTCTTCAAAGTCTAACTTAGATCCTGGGAAACAAGCCTGCTTTGAGTTATAACCATCTATTGTTCAAGTTACTTCTTCAAAGTCTAACTTAGCGTGGAAAAAGCCTGCTTTGAGTTTATAAACCGTCTATTGTTGAAGTTACTTCTTTCAAAGCCTAACTTAGCGTGGAAAACAAGCCTGCTTTTGAGTTTTGATAACCATCTACTGTTCAAATTACTTCTTCAAAGTCTAACTTAGCGTGGAAACAAGCCTGCTTTGAGTTTTAAACCATCTATTGTTGAAGTTACTTCTTCAAAGTCTAACTTAGCCTGGAAACAAACCTGCTTTGAGTTTATAACCATCTATTGTTGAAGTTACTTCTTCAAAGTCTAATTTAGCCTGGAAACAAGCCTATATGCACATGCAGATCCAAAGTTTTTGACCAGAGGTGGTCGTAATATTTCCACAAGTGGTTATGCATATTCTGAAGAGGGTTTTGCATTTTACTGGTTTCAAAGAGGGGAGGGGGTAATAAGTCATTTTTGCCCTGATTTTTATTTATGTAAGTTATTTTTGGACCTTATATTATAGCTCTTGACATAAAAGCCAAATTTCAGGGCATGTCATGACCCTCCCATGACATCTGATCTCAGGTACCGGTATATTTTATTCTATCATAAAAGTATCTCATATAACTTACTCAGAAATATATTAAAACATTAATTTAACCGAACCTTGTGTTGACAAGGTTTGGTGAAACATCAATAAATAATGACATCAATATGACAATAGACACTCTTGACTTTTCTTTTGAATATAAGAGAACAAATTGTTGTTGTCAGCTATAGCAAGACCTCATGTGCTCCGTATAATATAATATATTATTTCAAGCAATCATTATAAGCGCTTGATTAGAACTTTTGTATGGCAAGTAAATAGCTTCCTCATATGGAAGAATTGGGCATCAACCGTATGATATAAATTCACCGCAATAGTGTCAGTGACTTCTAACCACCTGGCAATAATATCATCATTAGTCATAATTTGTCACAGTTGATTTGAGCTCTGTTTTCTTGAAAAAACAACATTAAAAACTGAACCATATTTTTATTCAGTGAGACAGAGAGTCAATGAATTCAGGGGTCGCTCAGGCAGTCTCGACTGTACACTGTTATTGCTTTTTTTAAGTCACATGGATGCTATAAAGTCCTACGATGACTTTAATCCAGCTAAACTAGTGGAGAAAGACCTCAGCTGCCCCTTAATGCAATATTTCGGGCTGAACATAAGATATATATAATATAGAGGATATTGAATGAGTGTAAGTTCAATACTGAATTTATTGCACCAGTTGAATAAAATTATATTATGCGAGCCTCTGGTGAGCATAATATTATTTTATTCAATGAGTGCAATAAATTCAGTAATGAACTTACAAGAATTTAATATTCTATTTATCACATACCCAAAATAAGGACCGAATAAAGTGAAAAAAAAATCATTTTTCATTGACGCGCCTATAGTATAACGCTAACATTTAGCGCGTCTTTACACTATGTTTGTATAACGCTAATGACTTCACGTCAAAATATATGCAATACCATATTTACGGAGTCGCAAAATCGGCACGGGTGTGTGATAAAAAAGTTTCTTACATTCATAGTAAAAAGTGAAGCACATATTCATGAGGTTTTTGGCGGGAACAAAGTCTTCTGCTTCGTTACATTCAAACAGCACCACAGCAAAATATTGCACCAGACGGAAAAATATTGATTCATCAACCTTTTTGGAAATCACTCTCTGAAAATAAGAAAATTATATACATCTAGTGTCTCCAATATTTATGTATCACTGTCAACTGCCACCCACAAAAAAGGACAAGAACTTGTCACCTGTCTAATTACATGAGAGATGCAGACAATTTTGTATTATCAAGCAGACAGAATAAAATAAAACCTGATACATGTATGTAACTTTTTTTAAGGATAAAAATAATTATCTGTCTAAATTACAAGGAAGATACTGACAAAGTCCTGTTAGGATCCAGACAAGATGAAAATGAAGAAAGCTCTAGATTAGACTGCTGCGAAAACCAGACAACTAAATCATGGTTTAAATGCCATCCTGAGTCAATGTTGAGTGTATTTAAAGCTTATCTCTATTTATTTCCATCTCTTTCACCATGTTCACCAGACTTATTTTACCTATTTACATGCACTAGCAGCTGAGCATTATTCCTTCTCAGTTAGGCAGTGTCCCAGGAAGAGATTTCTTCTAAAGATAATTTCTATAGGTAATTAAATAGTAAGGTAATTAGGTATATAAGTTATGACTTTATTTAATGAAACTTTGGCAGTAGCTTGCAATTACCACTAACATCCATGAACAGGCTCAATCAAACCGAGCCAGCAACATTTTCAATTTTGCCACTTTGGGTGTTCTTTAGGGAATCCATATGTCTGTATTAACATTTTTGGTTTTCCAATCTATGTTGGCCTCAGGATATACATAACAAAGTCACTTTGATCTCATCAGATGTTTTGAAATTATTTCACCCATGCCTCTTGTCCTAGTAACAAAGTTGCTAAGGATCTAGTCCACAGTGAGGCATGATATATCCAAACACATCTATATATATACCATATACCAGTACCACTCAAAGGTTTTCTTTATTTATCATATAAATGTGTTATTAGTCATATCATTATACATTGTATAATATCATAAAAACAAGAGGGCCATGATCGACCTGAGGTCGCTCACCTGTATATAGGCCCCCGGAGCTGGGCCAGTTTAAACCCCAGGGCTTTTATTTGAACAGACTCGGAAGAGTCACCCATTAGTCACCCCCCCCCCCATCGGCAGGGCCAATTTTAACCCAAGGGCTTTTATTTGAACAAACTTGGTAGACACCCATAAGAAGATGTTTCATGCTAAACATCTTAGCTCTAACTCATTGGGTTTTTTAAAAGAAGATTTTTAAGTTTTTACTATACACATATAGTTAAAAACAATGACACCACTGGGGCGGGGCCAGTTTTGACCCCAAGGCTTTATCTGAACAAAATTTGTAGACACTTGCTAGAAGATATTTCATGCTTAATATCTAAACTCTACCTATTTGGGTTTTTTTCAAAGAAGATTTTTAAGTTTTTGCTATACACATATAAGGAAAATCAATGATCCCCGGGGCCGGGCCAATTATGACCCCAGGGCTTTTATTTGAACAAACTTTGTAGACACTCACTAGAAGATGTTTCATGCTTAATATCTAAACTCTAGCTATTTGGGTTTTTTCAAAGAAGATTTTTTAAGGTTTTGCTATACACATATAAGGAAAATCAATTACCCCTGGGGCGGGGGCCAATTTGACCCAAGGGCTTTTATTTAAACAAACTTGGTAGACACCCATTAGAACATGTTTCATACTAAATATCTTAGCTCGAGCTCTTTGAGTTCTTTAAAAGAAGATTTTTTAAGTTTTTACTATATGCATATAGGGAAAATCAATGACCCCCTGGGGCGGGGTCAATTTTGACATTTCCTTATATGTGTATAGCAAAAACTTAAATATCTTAGCTCTAGCTCTTTGAGTTCTTTAAAAGAAGATTTTTTAAGTTTTTACTAATTATGCATATAGTGAAAATCAATGACCCCCTTGGGCGGGGCCAATTTTGAACCCAGGGCTTTTATTTGAACAAACTTGGTAGACACTCACTAGAAGATGTTTCATGTCAAATATCTAAGCTCTAGCTCTTAGGGTTTTTTAAAAGAAGATATTTAAAGTTTTTTCATTATGATCTGCCTTATGGTTTCAGAGAAGATGTCGTTTTAAAAGTGTGAACGGACAACGGACGACGTACGACGGACGAAGAGTGATCCTAATAGCTCACCCTGAGCATATGCTCAGGTGAGCTTAAAATAATATATAAAATCTGGGATCCATTTGCTTAAGAATGTCTTGGAAGACTATGGCATTGTCAAATGATTAACTTTATGACTGGCAAAGTGAGATACATATACCATGAAAAAAGAACAAGAAGAAATTTTGAAATGCTTTAAAAACATTTGATTTTACAGTGTCATACGGTAAAACATGTGAAATGTTAATCTTTCTTAATGTGGATGAGATGAGGAAATACTGAAAATTTAAAAAATATGCTTAAATATTTCACTGTATCATCCATAAATAGTTTGATAGTGTGCCGTAACATTTCCTTTATTCACCAGAATGACAAGATAATTTCCCTAGAGAGGAGAAACAGACAAGTTGTACAGCTAAAATACAATAAAATAACAAATTGTTATTCATAGTCCTTCATGATCCACACCAAAATAGCTTATATTTTACATCAAGAACAATAAAATATACATCTGTTCTCATTATTTGTGACCAATCCTAGAAACTGTTCATCATAAACCTTTTAAATTGTTTAAAATTAGCATTCTTACAAAACGACAGAATACCAACTGCGTATTAATACAAATAATCAAAAGGGTATTTTTTTTACCATTATCCTAAATATTCGAATTGTTGACAGAGAAGACTGCTGGTTTAAGAATGTTTTGTCTTCGAGGCATCAAATGTAAATAAAGATGTGACATTTCAGGAAAGCTGAATGAACAAATAATCAAATTGGGTTGAACAGTTAGGGATATTTGTTACATACCTGCGCATTCACATATCTTGCAAACCACTGCCTTCCAGGAACTTGCTGCAAAAAATAAAATAAACCAATTTCTATAAGAGTTCCTTTTAAAATCTTATTAAGCATGGTCTACCTTGAGCTAAAATATAATTTGTTTCCAAAGATTTGCTTAAAGTGACTCAACTGTGGTTTTTTATATGACAGAACTGGAAATAATTTTTTGAAGATTTGATGTAGGTGACAGACTAGACCATTAACTTGTGTGCAAAATTTTAGATCATTCACATACTCTAGTTTTTCCAGAATAATCATTCTGATTGTGTGACCAAAATTGAAGTTTTTCCACTCAAACTGAGTTATGAATAGCACAAAAGTATGGTTTCCAAAATATTCCTGAGTATATTTGTTAATTATCTTTTGCATACCTTTCTGTTGTAAGAAATGTAAAATTTATGTTTTATGGTAGTCCATTGACAGTTTTAAAAAAAGACGAGTCAGCATCTTTAACTATAGGTATGGTGGTCCATTCAAAGAAAGCATACAACTTATAGTTACAGACATTTTTTATTCAGTCACACAAATGCAGTTAATTTGGAAACTCTCCAGCTATTCCGGTTGAAGATCTTAAGTAAACCACAATATATATATATAATTCAAGGCACAAGGGAAAAATTGAATCAAAGATTTAGATTTTTTTCTATAACAGTTTGAGATTGATACATATAGAATTTTGCATGACTAGCGTTGCATCAAAAAATCATTTTTCATTTTTTATGACAGACACACTTTATCCTTGCATATCGTGGCTTAACTTCCTTAAAAAAGACACTTCAAAAAAAAAAAAATGCCTCGACTAGGATTTGAACCGTAGGCATCTCACACCCTAAACAAGAGCGCTTACCTCTGCACCACGGTGAAGTAATACATATGTACATTGAATAAAAACGAATACATTATGTAATTCTAAATTGAGAATTTCCATTTCGTGTTTGTAATCTTTATTAATTTCGAGGTATTTTGTTCACGATAAACCTGTTGTTTAACACTGATGAAAATAATTTAGCGAAAATCTTCTCGCCAAAACAGTCAGACATGTATATATTCCACTACTCGACAGTCAGATTTATTTGTGTACTACGCTCTGGAGTATTCGGTAATCCACATAGCTAAAAATAGCATATTCATTGATTAAAATGATATTCCTCCAAGTGCATCGAAGCTTTACGGAAATAGCCGAACATTTTTCATTGGGTAAAAAAGATATTCATCCGCGAAATTTGTGATTGTAACCTCATATTTCTATTGACTAATCTAAACTTTTAATGCACTGTAATTCGTTAAATGCCTACATTAAAAATTATTCTTTCCTTTAAATTGCTGGTTTTTAGCAGTTTTGGGTGAGAACTACTTTGCGTTGTTAGGTCTGTAAGGAAATTTTGTGTTAGACCGTGGATGTTAGCTTTGTATTTACTGATCTTGCGATCAGAAAATACAAAAAACAATCAATTTTGTGTAGGTATGCAGACTAACTTCCTCAAATGAAAGAACTAAAAATCCCTGGCAGGATGTAAATCTCAATCAGTGAGGGACAAGTCTGATGGCTGTCAGTTACCTTAACCACTTGATAATAGATGCCACTAAATGTTGATCCAGTTAATGTTATAACAATCTGACTAAAGTTCAGATCTACTTATTTCTTTTTATAACATAGATCTGATTACGACCGTATATGTTTCGCCTTCTTTATAATTCGGATTTCCCGAGAAATCTATTTTTAGCCATGCAATGAAACCGGTTTTTACACAGGCATTAGAAAAAGTATCAAAATACCGTTATCCGTGGAAGTTAAACTAATTGTTGATTTTTGTTAGAAAAAAAAATGTTTGAAGAAATTTTTAACAAATTAACTTGAAATAATAGTCAGTTTTTAATGCGCAAGATTGTTTTGCCAGTTTACCTGTCGGCTATATGGACAATGGTATTGAGTTTGTTCCCGAAATCATGACAGTTTTCTACTCAGAATTGGTTTTCCCAGGGTTAAAATTAGAAACCACATCACTTTCAAAATTATGAAAGCTCGCCGATGATTGGCTATGTGAAAGATCACCAGAAATAACTTTGTAATTGGTCACTGTTAGATCTAAAAGCGGAGCGTTATTTAGAGCTAATTTTAATCAGATTGGTGTTATAACATCAGAGGGAAACTCCGCATTACCATTCTATGATGATTAATAACAAAATAGTAAATGAAACATAATCATAAATCATACCGGATAATTTACGAGACTAATTGTTTTGTATTTTCATAAGAAATGTTTTTCTTACCTGGCAGTATTCACCAAACTTTGCTTTTTCAAGTTGAGGAATATCTTCCCTGAAATAAAACAAACAAAAATTACAATTTTTGTAGACTTACAGTCAACATTCTTTGATATTTTCAATACAACATTTCTGGTTTAATCTCACAAAATATAAAATATATCATATTAATATAACTATTTTATGTGAAAGGTATGGACAATATTTGACAGGAAATTAAATAGCCAAATTAGTTTTCAGAAAATTATATATCTTTCAGGCATTCACATTTAGACAAAAGTTAATGGGGGACACAGCTAGCTATGTGGAAATGAAACATTAAGGTAATGAGATTTTCTTCTCACAAAATCAATTTTCTATGCCAAATTTTAGCTACAAAGTCAAAATTCTTTTGAAAATTTCAAAATGTTCAAATTGCAAAAGAAATATACAGTTTTGTTTAACATACAATGTATTTGAATATATCATCAGACAGCAATGGGAATAGAAACTTATGTTCCCTGTAGGTTGACTCACCAGTAAACTATTTCTAACCCACTCCTCCCTAGCATATCCCTCCCCCTTCAGAATAAAAGACTCTATAACTCATTTGCTTTTCGAAATTTTAAAATGTTGTGAAAATTTCCATGAGCACAGAACTGGTAACAAACACAAGGTGATATAACTGAGGAACATAAAAATAATAGATAATCATTCAGAAGGGAAACATAACGAGGAATATCATTAGATTTGATTTATAGCGTAAATAATATCAAAATCCAGCATAGGGGAAGTCATTAACGTCTTATAGCTTATGAGAATTCTTATCAAATTAACAACACTAAAGACAAAGTTTACCATTATTATAAAGCATAATTTATCTGATGACATTTTCTTTGGAACCAGCATAATTACTTGATCAAGTAATATATTACCAAACCAGCAAATTTGTATAATTGATATATGTATTGATATCACAAATCTTTTTAAGGCAACTTACAAGGTAGCTATTAGTGTTGAACTAAAAGTGTACAAAAAAGTGGGCAAATTCAAGCTAGCCATTTATAGTGTTGAACTAAAAGTGGGCGACTTAGAAGGTAGCTATTAGTGTTGAACTATAAGAGGGCAAATTCAAACTAGCCATTTATAGTGTTGAACTAAAAGTGGCCAACTTTAAAGTGAGCCATTAGTGTTGAACTAAAAGTGGGCAACTTTCAAGCTACTTGTCGGGGACCATCAACTGGACACTTTTTGAACATTTTTGTATACAGATTTCATAATTTCAAACCAAGAGACCTGAAAATTTGACACAGTACAGCTAGGTTCTTCTCCTAAGTAACAAACTAGTGTGTTTATTTCTGATTATATTGACACTTTTATCTGAGGCCTGTCGTCGAGGGTATCAATATTACCTGAATTGCCCACACTACAGTCCACGTGTCCGGATGGATATGTACATGACGTGATTTAATTCAGACAAAAGCTTAGGTGTTTAATTTTTTTATTTTTAACATGATATACAATATATCAGCAGCAAATGCTGAAATTTTGGATATTCTTTTGTTTACTCTGTAAATGATTATTGGTGGTATATGAGGTCAGGTATTGCACTCTTGATGCCCCAATTTTCAGCAAAATAGACACTAATATATTACCGTTTATGGAAGTTGAAATAAATTTAATAATCATAAAAGAAAAAACATGCATGTTGATAATAAAGTAACTGATAGATCGTAAACCACTGAACAAAGAAAAAACACTATTTTAAGCATTTTTGGGGCCGTCCGGGTTTGATGGTTGTCCGGTTTTGGTGGTCTCCAACCAGTAGCCATCAGTGTTGAACTAAAAGTGGGCAAATTTAAGCTAGCCAGTAGTGTTGAACTAAAATTGATTCAAGCTTGCATTTAGAGATGAACTAAAATTGAGGTGCTATCAAAAATCATTGCTTTATTAACGCAAAATTTAGAAAAAAAAATCAATCCCTGCCACAACAAGTCGAAAATAATATCTTATTTATTGAGAAGAAAGTTCCAAACTGGTTAAAACAAACATTTGGAGCTGCCTGATAGCTGTTTTGTTCATCTGTTAAGAGGTGACAGAGTTAAACCGTAATCATTTGCAGGTCCTTAATTAATACATAGTAAATTCAGAACAGCCTCAAATTAACCACATCAAGTGTGTGTTATTTATTCCTGTTAATTACAGATGAACAGACTGTTGTGGGGACTGTGATATAGCATGTCACAGAAGGAAAAAAAGAAGATCACAGTCTGTTGGATAATAAACACTGTGAAAATCAATATAAAAGATAGATTTACAGATTGGATAAGGTTGTTACAGTAATTAGCTGAAATGGCATGATTGTGTCACCTTATTTCCAATATTAATACATTTAGTTTTCAGTAGCTAGGAAGGCAAGATGGGTTCTATATGCTGATAAGATGTAAATTATAGAAATGGTTGTCAAAGTATCCTTTCCTTATTTGAATTCTGTGGTGTTTGAAGTATGAAATAGTTAATTTAATACTTCAAATTATTCTACAGTAAGAACATGAATATTTTGACTGTTTTTTTTTTTGGGAAAGAAAAAAGACTACAAGTTGAAAATACTGGTTTCGCAATACTAAGAGTTCAAATAATTTGTTTAAACCAATAGAAAGGTAGTCTTTCACACACATTTGACTGTATTATTGATGATGCATTAGTTTTAAAAAAAATACTTTGAAGTGTAAAATTTTCCTACAAATTGAATGTAATTTAATGCCTTAATCTGCCTTAAAGCCTTAATCTGCAACTGCAAATACTAATTAAGGTTGTACAAAAAGGCAGTTAGAATATTATACTACTGCTATTTCTAGATTTATTACAATGGGGTATCATTTATCGGAAACAATCAGGAGCTGTACATTAAGAGAAACACAAGCTGTAAAAGACAATTGTGTGGGCAATAAAGACTTCCTGAGGTTTGTTTAAAGAAACTGCTGGAAATTGCCATCACCGTTAGGATTCTTTTTTTATATTTCTCTAAAGAGATCAATACACGTTTTTGAATGAGATCTATTAAGTGAGATCAATACATAGAAAGATACAGAACAAAATATCAAAGGTCTACACAGAACCAAACTCACATCACTCTCTCTATTAACAGACTTTATCAATTGGAGCAGGAAAACTTTCTCAGACCATGGCTCAGGGAAAACTTTGTCCGACCATAGCTCAGGGAAAACTCTCCTGGACCATGGCTCAGGGAAAACTCTCCTGGACCTTGGCTAAGGGAAAGCTTTCTCCGACCATGGCTCAGGGAAAGATTTCTCGGACCATCATGCTCAGGGAAAGCCATCTCGGACCATGGCTCAAGGTAATACATTTTTTTTTCTGAGCTCTGTCTCAATTATCAGTATTTTCATTGGTCTTAATTGTTTACAATCTGAGATAAGAGTGTGAGCTTAGAAGATTTCTTTTTTACCTCAGACCCATGCAATTATTGTCCTTTTGTTTTCAATTTATTAAACTGTAATTACACAAAAATTAAGCACACTGATTATATCTTCTTAAATGCCAGTAGGAAATTTTGTCCAGGAATTTGGAAAAAAACAACTCAACACAACTTTTATCCTAGTAGTCAGTCTTATCACTCCCCCCCCCCCTCCCCACTCCCATATCCCCCAAATAACCTGAAAATGATAGAATTCTACAATGTCTCAACTTGTGACAAATTCTTTTAATCCTTTTGCATTATATGGAAAGGAAAATTCAATTTCTATCTAAATTAAAATGCTCCTATAATCTAGGCAGATTCTTATACACAAAGGACCAACTTTCTATTTGAATTCTTCTCTCAATTTAACTCTGAAATTCTCAGGAGCTTTCACTATCTGGTTCCAGTGTATTGTTCTATCTAATTTAAAGCAAGTGTTCCTTAAAATTTCAATCATTCAAGGCAGCTGGGAATTTACAAAATAAAACAACCTTATATCTATTGACATGAGATTCAATAATTCTGTGATAATTCCATGGCAGTTCTCACTGTTACTGTTTATATCTATTAGATGTAATATTAGTAACAGTACACTGAAATGATGTATTAGCAACTTTGACATTCAATTTTCTATCATCACTTTAAGATGTAAACTTCAAGTTATAACATAGCATATATGTCATATTATTAACCCTTTCTGATCTTTGGGTAGTACTGTTAATGTTGACTGAATTCCAAGTGGTACCATTATTAATGAATTTTGAGAGGTACCATTTATGTTGACTACATTTTGAGTGGTACCATGACTAAATTTGAGTGGTACCATGACTAAATTTTGAGTGGTACCATGACTAAATTTTGAGTAATTATTCTGGAAAAACAAAGTGTGCGAATGATCTGAAATTTTGCACAAAGATTAGTGGTCTAAACCTACATCAAGTGGTACATTTATCTGGAAAAAATATTTTCAGTCCCATCATGTCAAAAAAAACCTCAGTGGAGTCCTTTTAATGTATTTTATAATATATTTTTTGTAATTTTCACAGAATTTTCAGTATAATAATGTGATTTTTATTGGGTTTAATGTCACACCAACACTACACTTTATAGGTCATGATTATGATGACTTTTCAGCTTTACTGGTTGAGGAAGACATCAGGTGCTCCTCTGTAACAATATTTCAGCACAACAGGCATAATGGAAAAATTTCAACCACTCAAAATTTTTGTCAAGCTAGGGAAAGCTTTCTAATGCTGAAAAATCTCACTAACCTGGCTGTGGAAACCTACAGCCAGGGAAGAGGCCAAGTGATGGGAAAGTCGACCAGGCTCAATGTAAACACTGTAGGCTGTCACAGTACATTGCAAATGACAGCAGCCATGGATGCTAAAATTTCTAACCTGACAGCAATTGTGTTGTTCAAATTTATTGAAACTGTTTACACAAAAACTTAAGCGAACACTGATTTACTTACAAATGGTAGGAAATTTTGTAAAGAATTTGTTGTAAATGAAAACAACAGACACAACTTTATCCTATGCAGTTGACACTTTATATTCCAATAACCTGAAAATACGATTCTAAACCCTGGAAAAAAT